GTCTGGTATTATTTCATATATTTCTTTTTTACTTAAAAACAATACCTTTACAAGCTGGGTTTTTTTTCGTCAACACCCATTAATCACAGCAATGGAAGACTGTAACAATGAAATCTTATCAGCTAATTGTTGAGTGAAAAGAATTTCTTCACAACCATAGGCTGGTAGTTGTATCAGTTCAAATATACATGTATTGTCTATTGGTTGTTTTCCTTTTATTTTAATAACTTACAACAAAACAACTGGAACTAAAAACAAAGGAAAAAGTTTATATTCTTATAATATTTAATTCATCCTGTATATTAGAGTTTGCTTTATTTTGATTAGGATTACTGAAGTTTGTAAACAAATCAAACAAGAGATGACAAATAATCTATTAATCCCCTCAATGTTAAATGTTAAGATGAGTTTTCAATTTAATGGCTTCTAACTTCCTTTTATTTCTTTCAGAAATCATGGAAGAATAGCAAAAAAGGTCAAAACAGTTCTAACGGTACTGTAATTGCAAAATTTACTGAAAAAAATACTTATTCATTCTCTAGATGTTAGGGACCTAACATTATTTATGGGGGGGGAGGGGGGGGCTGGTGGAAATGAGAAATAAACTTCTCAAAAACTTTAAGTCCCCCCTTTATTGGGGACTCACTTTTTATTGGGCTCCCTCCCCATAATTCTTTAAATTAATTTAGATACTATACCAAGACATTTTATGTAGACCAAAATGAAAGGTTATGAAGAATACCACCCTACCTTTTTTAAAGGTGATGCACAAGGAGATGAAAGTGACAGAGGGGAAAGCAGTGAATCTTAGGATGAAATCTTTTAAGGACTTTCAATTGTCAACCATTTGTTTAGATTGAGAATGGGTCTTTTGTTTATCAGTCTCCAATTAAAACATAAAAAGTCAATTTTGCTGGTATTGATATTGCAGAATTTGATTTGTTCCCCCCTTTTTATGTGCACACAAATTTTTGGTCCCCCCCTTCATTTCCATCAGCCTCCCTCTCCCTGTAAATAATGTTACAGGTCCCTTATATTCACTTCGGCTGAAGTGGAAATTGTTTGCTTTTGGTAAATAACTTGCTTTGGATGTGCCACAATAGGGCTTGATTATTAATATGATATTATTCAGAATTCCTTTTCTTTTGGGTTTCAGATTCCCTTTTGCCTTGTCTGATGCTCTAATATAATTTACCAAAATATCATTAAATATTCAGCATTGTTTTTCAAATAATGTCTTTGGGTGGGATAGTTTTAGAATTTTTTTTTCTTGCCATGGGGATGAAATGGTTGTACCAAATGGAGCACTGATTGCAAGCATGATTAGTAAGTAAAAAAAAATACTGAAAAAAAAGAGAAAACAAAAAACTGAACATAGCATGCCTATGTGGTTAATGCTCTCTGTAGCTTTACCCTTTCACTTCCAAGTTGCCATTAATTAGTAATTCTCCTTACCGTCTGCCATACATTTCTAATGATGTTAGTTTGGAGAATTTGGTATTGGATCAACTGACAATCCCCTGATTTTCTGTTTTCCTTATTCTCATTACTTGTCTGCTTGATATTATATTGATATTGTAAGGAGAAATTTTGTCTTGATCACTCATGGTAATTGAAGAGTTAAATAATTGATCTGCTTCCTGGTGTACCTGTGATCAAGTCTTCCTTCTCCTTCTTATTGATTGCAAACAACTTCACATCTCACCAGTTTGGATTTATGTCAATTAAAGCTGTAATTGATAGTCAGTATTTTTGAATCTTTACTAGTAGAGCACTGGAGTGGTGTTACATGTAAATAAATTAACACTTAAAAACTGTACCAATCACATTGCTTTGAGCTACACCAAAAAAATCAGATTGCTCAGAGATGCACCAAATTGTGCTGATCAGATTACTTACACCAAAACACAACACTCTATATGTGAACATATTATTTTTTTGAAAAACAAAACAAAAAAAAACTCAAAAAGCAAATATTTANGCCCATCAGACTGGCACTTAACTCCAGTTTCTGTTGCATGAAGGGATTAGGAGTATCTATGCTCCCCCCCCTGGATGGAATGCTAGTCCATCGCAGGGTTACCCCCAGCATTAAATTCGCTGGTACCCATTTTATTCTCCTGGGTGAAGAGAGGCACTGTGAGAGTAAAGTGTCTTGCCCAAGAATGCAACACAATGTCGAACCTGGACCACTCGATCTAGAGTCAAGCGCACTAACCATTCAGATTCAAGCACACTAACCATGAGGCCACTGCACCTCCCGCAGTATATGGAGGATGAGGTGTGTTATATTAGAGTTCTGTAATAATGAGATTTGCCCTTGTGAAGTTACCTCTCATTGAAAAGTCATTGAAGGGCTGAGAATTGGGTGTAAATTTTGCACCAGTTTATGGAGATCATTCTTAGTAGGTACTATGTAGTTACTTATGATTCTTCTGAGGGAGACTTGGGAAAAAAGAAAAATCATCTTGGTATCGTAAACCTCCAAGTAATGTGACAAGCAAGCTGCTGGGCAGATTGGTAGTCTGCAAAGAACTCACTCTCAGAATCTTAACCTGCGTGTGAAAAAGTTGTCAAAAATGGAGGCTGCCTGTGGAATTGTGCCCCTTGAAGAGCTTGCTCACAGCCTGCCTGATAACCTGTTTTAATTTCATTAACAATCTGTGATTAAATTTGTCTAAAAGATGAAAGGGATGGGGTTCAGCAGCAGGATGGGAGGGTTATTGTAGAGTGTTGTTGAGCAAAACACCTTACTCATAATTCTTGAGAATAATAGGGACCTTAAGCAGTCCGGACGGCAACGCTAAGGAAGACTTCGATTAAAAAATGAATTTCTACTCTTAGTCAGAATTTCAAAAATGGCTGCATGAGCTTACTGTCTCTTACGGCGCTACAGCTGAACTTCAGCATGACGTATAGAAGTAGCATTGAGTTCCAAATGGAAATTAAATTAATTTGCGGTTGTGGTTTTGGTTCGCAGACAATGCAAATTTTGGCAATTGCACGTTGTTGTTTTGCATAGGACGGCTACGAAATTTACAAAGTTTCAAAACGCACGTGCTGAGCTATTGTTCTGCCAATTAGATCTCTTGTTTTTTCACGTCCTCGTTGCTGTTGCCGTCGTGGCTGCTTAAGGTCCCTAATGTCTTAAAACAGAATTCAGATGTAAGGGGTTGTGAGGAGGGGAGGTTTATTGTTTCTTTTTCTTTTCTTTTTTTTCCAGTCGTCTTCCTGGATGGATGCGGTCCTATATTCCAAAAATATTCTATGTAGAAGAAAAGGCTTGGAATTATTATCCTTTCACTATTACAGGTCAGTGGAGATTGTGAAAGTTTTTCTAAAATGTACTTAGTCTAGTTAATACCTTTACTTGCTCAGTAATGTTTACTTGTTAGTGACACAAAATTTAACATGCATCAAACATTGATGTTACAAGTCAAGAATAAATGAAATGATTTCTGGCTTAAGAAGCAGGTGATCTTTTAAACAAATTATTTTGGTCAGTACCGTA